GGACGTTCACCCTCAACTCAATGTGGATACTCATTGGGACTTCTTACTGCACACGCTCATATGTGCTACAAATCATTCAGTTCCTCAATTGGTCTCCAAAAGCTACAAGCAACCTACAATCATCAAGAACCGCGCTCTTCGCCTGCTAAGCCGCAAAAGGCACTGTTGGGCAGAATACAAACGAACTGACAACAGTGGAGAGTACAGGCAATACAAATATGTAACGAACATATGCACGAAGGCAAGGCTGCTTAGCGCGATATTCTCATACTCGCTAAGCAAGGCAAACTACCGGAAAATTGGAAGCTGGCTTACATCACACCAATTTTCAAAGGAGGCCGACGCAGCGAATCTTCAGGTTACCGACCGGTGGCTCTTCACTCTATACCTTCAAAAATCATGGAGTGTCTGATATGCGATGGTATATATGACTATTTACCGACCTTAAACTTCTTCTCACTCCAACAGCATGGTTTCAGGAAAGGTGTATAACCAACCTGCTGACTGCGGTGGACAGATGGACAAGCATCCTCGATCGCAAGAAGAAGGTTGATATCATTTACCTTGATTTCTCAAAAGCTTTTGATATGGTTAACCATATATTTCTTATCAATAAACTCAAACGATTGGGTATCAGACCACCTCGAATTGATTGGCTCATTTCATATCTGAAAAATCGACATTTTAAGATCAGGATTAACTTAACTTTATCTCAGGCTATGGGATGTCCTAGTGGGGTCGCCAGGGCTCAGTACTAGGATTTGATTTATATAAATGATCTTCCTCAACAGGTATTCTCAGACTCGTTACTTTTTGCCAATGACGTGAAGCTTTGGAGAGAGATACGCAACCAAGACGATATACAGACACTTCAGGAGGATCTGACTCAACTTCAAAGTTAGGCAGACGATAACAGACTTACCTTTAACACTTCAAAGTGTAAAGTAGTTCATCTGAGACGTGTCTCAGACTATAGTTACAACTTAGGAAACTCCTCTCTATTAGTATCCCGAGTCGAAAAAGATTTCGGAGGCCTGGTGCCCTACGATTTAGAGTCTTACGCTAACCGTGACAAAAATGCCTTTCGAGCAAACCTTACAGTGTTAACATTGAAGCGCATTTATGGCCAGTATGACGGGAGAACTTTCCATATAACCTTCAACGGTTTTATTCGTCCCTATTCAGAGTACGGAAACACAGTATTTCCCCCCTCACTCCAAAAGGATAAGGACACTCTGGAGCGTATCCAACGGCAAGCCACGAAGTCAGTTCAGTGACTCAAATTTAAACCTAATGGAGAGCGCCTCCAATCACTTCACCTTTACCTATTAGAGTATAGGCGTATTGGAGGTGACCTTTTAGTGGCCGACAGTATCCTTAACTCTTCTGGACATCCTCTTAAACGCCTAATTAGGCTTGGTCCCAGTACCAACCTAAGGGGTAACAACCAGGAATCGGAGACACAACATAGCAAAACGGACTGCAGACACAACTTCTACTCCTTAAGAGATGTCAAATGCTGGAATTCGCTGCCGGCCGAGCTAGTCCAAGAGACTTCTCAGGAGTTCTTTATGAGGCAACTTGATTTATTCTTAAGGTCTAAGGACAGTATCATACTATGATTTACCAATTTCTTTTTTCTCTCTTATTGTTAACATACCTAGGTTCCTGCCTTGAGGTATTCGTGATCCCCCTAGACACGGAAGCCCGATAAGCGAAAGGATCTTATATTCCGTCCAAAATCATTAGGACAATTTGTATGGCTTGCTTGGCCATGCAGGCGTGGTCCCTGCTGAGTGTTACCTTATATCTTTTATTTATATTAAAGATATTGTTCTGTCTCTAGCCTAAGTTTGTTCTCTATCATGCATTGGTAATTGTTACGATGATGTGACTTCCACGAAAGATCATATAGATTAGGTAGTTATATCATGACAACCCTACAATTATAGGATAAGGTCTATTATTATAGTAGACCATAATTCTACAGACGAATTATTAAGCTCATGTTATACACTATAAAACCCGGCGTATCTTGTATTCCTTTACGCTTGTATGTATAAGCTTTTCCACATGATACCATATTCATTTTATATTTTACCAGTATTTTGTATAAGCTCACGGACGAGCTTGAAGCCAGATACACAGTAAATGGTAATAGACACATCAGTTTCATTCGAATGATGTATAAGCAGATACCTTCAAACGGTTGTAATTACTCCATTCAGTCTGCTGTTCTTAGTGCAACACAGATATTTCCCACATATCTTTGTTGGAAGTGTGGAGTTATTATGGCAACTATTCTACAACCAATTTCGATTAGGGTCAATTTTGCTTGAGCTTTGTATTAACTTGCTTAACTGACCACGTTATTCGAATAGTAACAATTCGCATATTTCTTTGTACCATTATGATCACTACCATATCTGTATAAACGTGTACGCTTGATCACATGACAGACTCTAGCGATAATCCCAACAGCTTGAATATCGCTCGATGATCCATCCTCTTCCCCATGTATGTATATACGCGAATGCTATTATTAGGCTCTGTCTCGCCTTGCTGTGCTCTGATTCGATTTGACTATAAATTTGTATCTGTATTCGCTCGCGCACACACGTTCGCCTCCCTGCTTCAATTCCGCTCGATGTGCTTATTGCTCTGATATCCATGCTATCCGCTGATAATCTGTAGTTGCCGCTTCTCATTGCCTTATGATTTCAAACATTGTTGGAATGTGTATGATAACGGTTACAAAGGTGATGGATTAACGAGGCAAATCTACCACAGTATGATCACAGATGAACAAACCGAATCACAATCAACCGAATATTTTCATTTCTCTGGACTTGGTATTCAGTTACCTTGATAATCAACTCTCAATTACTGATGAAGTTTGAATTGTTCATATTTTCTTTGTGTATTGTACGTTGCTGTGATCTTAGTAATCAATCGTTGTCCAGTGGTTTCGTCACATTTCTGCCGAGTACTTGCATTCAAACGACCCGTGTTGGTCTTTTGCACTTACTGGCTCATAGATTGAACAAATGATGTGACTCGTCTCGTCAGTAGTCGACTAAATTTCGTTGTTGTGCTATATTTTTTACGAGCTAGATTTCAATCTTATCAGTACGGTTTTGCTGTATCTCGGCAATTCTGACCTTTGGACTTTCATTTGCAATGGTAGTGTTTACAAAGCTTTTCGTTATTTCATTTTAAATTTTCATCCTATTTTCGTACGGTACTTTTATTTATCACTAGTTTCGATGAATGATATCAAACAGTTACTATCCTGCGTCACTGGTCCTAGAAATAAGTTTGTTCATCGGCGGGTTTTTTATCTATTTGTAAACTTTTCAACAAACATTTTTATGCTAATATTAACAATATGGCTATTTGTAATATTGATGAGTATTTGAATTATGGTATGAACTAAGAATCCCAGTAATAACGTAATCGGATCAAGAAGTACTAGATAACGACAAACGAATGTACTGTATTTAGAATTCGAAATCAAGCATTCAACAAGTACAAAGGTATCATTAGTTCATTCAAAGACCACACTATTCCTTACTATCAGTACGTTTACTGTCATCTTATGCAGTACACACTTGTAACCTCCAAATTGATCGCCAACATTGTTGACCTACATACTCAACACACAATTTGTTAGGGTGTAGTGAACTTTCACAAGACCTACTATTGTTCTTAAATCATAACTTCTCAAATGCAGGATCGAATTAACCCTTGTAAACCTGTAAGTCATGACATGATATTAGGTGCATTACTCAATGCATCAGTTGCTACTGGGTTTTACTTGTTTTGTAAACGAAGTGGGATTTTGTAGTGCTTTGAGAATATGTACGGATGAATGATTTAAAAATTTCGTTTACTGACCGAGGTTTACTCCATTTAAACTGAAATGATGGGACCACCTAGCTTATGTCGACGTCACACGGAATTAATATCGAAAGTATATTGTCCTTTCGTGATCTCCCAGTCCCGTGGCTATTTTGACGGAAATGTAGAACGAATATGGTCACAATAAAGAAAAGGATAGTAAGAAAACGTCACTGCCGCATGCGCCAGTTCATGGTGTCAATTTAGTTAATTCACGCTAATCATCGTTCACCGTCACGACGTCCAACAAACTGTCCAACTCCAAGTGATCTGTTGTGTAACTTAGGAGAGGTTCAGCTTCATGACTAATTAGGCTGGGGTTCAGTGACATTTCATTGGACCTACGTAAAATCTTCATTTTAAAACTTATCTATATGTGACCTGAAGTAGGATTGCCCGGGACCGTCCAATTCGTAGACCAGTTGTCACAAATAGATCATTATTTGAATTAAAGAGAGAGCGCTGGCCATACTTGAGTGAATCGTGATGTTAATTCCAATCATATACGAAATGATGTGTAATGAAATTCTTAATTAGCACAAACACTACGCTTGTTCAATAATGATGGATACAGACAGCTACTCCACATCTTAATAAGGATACCAACACAGTCAGAAGTATTCAGTGCGTAGACCTGAGGTTAATGAAAGATCCTTTTGCAAGAAGCAAATAAGATACCCGAATGATTTCTCTTTATCCGTTCGTAGAACGCAAGATAACCTTATATTCGTGTTGCAGCTGACCAAATATATCGTGACCAAAATAGTGAAATTGTTATCTGTAATAATAGTTCGAGTGTTATCATTAGCCATTGTTTTCTTCTCTCTGAAGCTGATCAACTCCAATGCCATCAGAAGCCCTGATTTAATAATCGCAAAGTGTAATTCTATTTTATGTATTAATTGGTGAAAGACGGAATGTTTCCTGTGAAAAACTGTTCGACAGTTTCAAAAGAACACAGGACCTTCACATTATCACTTGCTGAGGAGAAAAACGCTGGTCAGTCGATCCACTGTCGTAAATACCGAGGATTTCATCAGATCATTTTCCTGTCAAATGTTCAACCTTGAATGCATTCAAGATTGGCCCGCGCGTTCAACACTCTATTGGGAGGCTCACATCGGTCTTGTGTGGATTCACTATGAGGTGTCTCTCAAAACTTCTGGTTCCAATTGGGATTGAAGTTATAAAGATAGTTGTTTATGCTTATGAGTATCTAACATGGCCACTGTACTACTTATTCAGCAAAACATTGAGATATATGCCGCTGCCCAACTCTCCTGTTGACAGCGACTGGACATATAATGAAGAAGAAAGTCGGACTTTGGCACTTCCTGTACGTGAAGGTGATCCCGGTTCGCCATGGAGAGCAGTTGAAGCCCTCGATGGTCTGACGAGTTCACTTCCTGGATGTAAAGATTTGGTTGATGTTTGGCTCCGCACAGTTAAGCTGTGGCCCGATTTGCCTGCGTTTGGAACAAGAGCTGTCCTACGCACGGACTACCGAGTGAGTTTCATACAGGACGTTCTGACCACACTATTTAAGTAACTTCTCCAGATGAAGTAATGAAGCCCATATGAGTGTTGATATACGTAGTGGACGGTTTTTGTTTACATGACTCTTTGGTCGGTTATTCAGTCGAAGAAGTAACTGAAAAAAACTTCTCCTTCATTCCTACTGGAATGAGTTTCGAATTGCTGGGTGATGGATTATACTAGTAATTTCAGACTACCAACGCCAAGAATACAAAGTGTCATCAGAACGGAAGACATAACTGCGTAACTTGTCACTCGATAAACTGGTTTGTTACATTATTATCCACTAAAGTTGGTTCCGGAGACAGTATGATCTGTTAATTCTAAGTAACATTTGTAAAGGCCGAAAATATTTCGGATGGGTTATTGAAGCATGGACACATTCACTGTGTGTCCCCGACGATTTTGAGTTACAGCATTATTTGATACGTTTTATACTACTATTTCATTCCCTTTAGGACCCTACCATTCATTTTTAAACTACCATCATTTGTACTATGGCTTACAATTCTTTCCTATTCAAGTTTTACCTTCATTTTGCCATGTTGAAGTTGTGTGGGGGATCAGATTACCAGCCTGCTATTAACGTTACCCGTGAAAGTTCCCGGCAACTTGATCACTCAGAATCAGCCACTCATCAATGTACAGGTCCTCACTAGTCACACCTCGCTAAACTTTATGTGTTTGGTGAAATTGAACAGCAAGATCCACATTATTCTCACCGTTCCAAGCTAGTTTTATATTTTTCTGTCTAATTAAATTGTTTTTGGAATGTCCCCACATATTCAGTGAAATAACAGTTTACATCTGTTGACGAATATCTTGATATGAACCTTCTCAAGTACGTGCCACGAACGTTTGTCTGATTATTCCTTTCATTGGTTTAAAAGCTGGATGTTCTATGTGTACTTCCAGTCATCCATGGTTGTATAAGTGAAATAAAATGCCTGGTACGTGCTAGAATTGTATATTCCATCTAAGGAAAGGTCGTGAAGTGATATTGTTGCGAAACTATCATCTCGTTCCCATATTAATGTAAACCAAGCAATTCATATGATGTTCAGGGAATATGGATTCCTTAAACGCTTCTGTGTCAAGTAATTCTCACTTCTAAGTCTTAGTGTGTTTTCGTTTTTTTGGTGAGTATAGTGGTAAGTAGGTACTTCCCCATAAGAAATGATTCATGTATTGTGTTTATTATATATTCTTATTTCGTATGATTTTGTTCTACACTAGCTGAGTCCTGACGGACGACAAATGATTGAGCTCACTTTGGGTGAGTACTCTTGGGAGACATTTTGGGACGCCGAACGTCGAGTATCTCATCTAGCAGCTGGTTTGTATTCAATGTTGGGGTCCGTTAAGGAACATAATCAGCCCATTGCCCTATTTAGTGAAACAAGAGCTGAGTGGATGTTTGCTGCTCAGGCCTGCTTTCGTCTCAACCGACCTGTTGCTACTTTGTACGCTACTCTCGGGGACGATGCATTGGTACATGGATTTAATGAAACTGAAGTCAGTAAATTGTTACACTTGTCAAATACATTTTTCACTTATTGCATTCATTTTACCTAGTTTATTGGCTCGTCTGACAATGTTTACATATCTCTGAGTTTACTTAATATTTTTGTCCACATTTTTAAAGATTAGTCTAAATTTACTGTCAGATCCAACTATAGAGTATTCTCTTTGAAATGACGTAAATCAAGTTGTTCAATCCATCTAGATTGAGCTTCAGTGGTTGGTGTTGAATCCTGGCTCAGAAAATGTCAGGTGTATCTTTTAAATGTAGCTTTTAGCTATTTGATAGTTCGATAATGTGTCACTTAGTTAACTATGACACGTTAGTAGTTCAAGGTGCTTTAGACTAGATATAAGCTGGTAATAACCAAGCTTAATTGATTGTAATATAAGCAAGAACTGTTAAAAATCACTTACATTTTCATTTATTAACTTTGGTTCTCGAGAACATATCCGGTAGGTTACGGTGAAAGTAACCAGTAAATATGACCAACCAAAGCTGTGGTTAGGAAAAACCGGTTAAATAATTGTTAATAACTGGTGGCGGCAATCGACACAGTTTGATTGTAATAGCTAATAAATCTAAGGTGTTCTTATTAATTGAATGTTGACTACTCAGCTACTGTCTTACGGTCCATGTAATTATCAAGGGAGGGGGAGTTGGATGTCTTGGTAATATAACTACAAAATTCTTAATCAGTACGTTCATCCCTGTAAATGTTGTTTTTGTCTCTAATATATTTTACACATTCAACGCTCCATTATGGAGTTATTGCTTCAGTACACTTATCTTGATCTTCGAACTATATATATGTAGTTTAATGTAGCACATTTTCCGATGCATCATTGTTCCAAGTGTTTCATCAAGCTATATGTCCGAAACATTTGTTGATTACGACGAAAAGTAACAAATGGAGTTCCAAATGATCCAAAGGAGTAACATGGTACAAAAGGTCTTTCGTCACAGTTACTATGTGACATAAAACATACTAAGGTTACGTGAGAATGTTCGTTAGCAATTTAAGCTCTTTTGGTGCTGTCTTAATCCGACCTGTTGGTTACTTTCTCACTTACTCATAGCTTGGTGAACTGCAAGTAGTTTCTGTTCTAATTTAGTTTCACTCACAATATAAATTGATGTATTCTCTTTCTACGTGACAACAGTTGAATGGTCAAGTTTGGAGGCAACACATGATGAAAGTACGATAAATAGGAGAATCGTTGTTTACGGGATTCAGCGAGTGGGTTGCTGGTTTGGAACCCACTATACTTCAGCTTTACAACCTAACAGTGTCACTAACGTTCACATTGTCAGTGTGAAGTACTTTAAGTTATCTGTACTTCATAAATAAGTAACCTAATTGTATCAGCTCTCTGACCCGATCGAAGCTGCTACCTTGACGCGGTGGTCGGGCTTGCCTATCGTGATGACCCAACCGAGCTATAGTGGCTGGAACATATGTTCCTGCAGGTTCTACCATGCCAGGCAGGTCGATTGGCGAACGGTAAGACTAAAAGCAGCAACTCAAGGTCTGAGGGTGAAGTCGTACTGCTGACTGTAGAGAGGTGTGACAGCAGTAAGGTGTTTCCCTCAGACAACCAGCATGACAGCGATGCTGCCTTCCCACAAGGAGGGGTGGGGTTAGAAAAGGTTGACCCTAAAAATGCACACCTCACCTTGCCTCACGGATTTCCGTCTCCGGCGGTAAGGCCCCTTGAAGAACGGAGCTAACACGTCAAAAATCTTCCACAAAAAGGCCGTGCGCGACCGGCCTTAAGCAGTTGTCCCTTGGGCTCTGCGGTCACGCTCCCAGGTCGTCAAGACCAACACTAATCCAATTTCCTTTTCAGGTTCCTCAAGAAATACCCTTCCACGGTGTGGGCAGCCGGGAAGTGACATCAGCCCTCATACCCGTAACAGCACAAGAGACCAAGGTGGTCACATTCAAATCAATCAGCTCTCTGAGCAGGCTAAGAGAGTGTAGCTGGAACCATCGTGTAACGCGTTACATTAGCTGGAATTGTCTAACAACGATAATATTTCAGCTCAGCTGTTCAGTGATTATCATTGCGTTCTTACCTAATAACTTGACGATCGTTTTTATTGCTTGTTAGTGATTCTAATCAACCATCATCTATTTTTTGCTTGTAACTTCAGTTTGTTTAAACATGTTTTTGCATATTCAATAAGAAACTTTATGTGTGGACTTTATTTTAATCTCAGGCTGTGGTCGTGTTCACAAGCGATGAGCTCTTATCAAAAGTAATTAAAATTGTTCAACGATGTCCTTCGATTCAACGTATTATCTACTTCACAAATGGAGTTTTTAATCGAGAACTTTATACAGAAGTTGACAACCTCGCTGTTCCTTCTGAAAGTGCTACCGCTAGTGTTGCAGAAGCTCTGACAAAATGTCCGTCAAATTTACATCTACACAATATAGTCGAAGTCGAACGTTTGGGAGCTGCAGTAATCATGAAAGATAGAGAAAAGCGAAAAATGGGTGGTTCCACACCAATTACAGGGAATAATAATCACTCATCGAACGGTTATGAGGGTTTATGGATGCCTCCTGCACCAGAACGTGCCAGTCCCTCGGATTTAGCTGTGATTATGTACACAAGTGGATCAACAGGTATAATTTGTACACTGTTTCTTGGCGATTTCAGTGTTTTCACTTATCCATCGATTTTAATGAACTATTATAATTTTCTTTATAGCTTATTTGTACCTATCGAATTCTTCAGTTTATTATTTTTTGACTATGCATATAAATATATGGACCTTGGAAATGTACCAACAAGCTGTTTACCTGTATTCTAAAAGTTGAATTGTACGTAGAAAAGTGATTTATTCCCTGTACCTGAAAAGTATTAGTGACAAATGTTACTCTGATATTAATCCTGAAAGTTGCATATATAAGAACCAATTATCTTATTATGTTCTGTGCATTTATCATGTATATGATGACATTTTATACAACAAGCTTAGGTAATTACTTTGTTTAGAAGACTATATTTCAGTATTTTGATCAATTAAATCTCTATCACCCGAATCATTTATTAGACACATTCCCACATATTTAAACGTTATTCAACTATGTGGATCGGAAGTTTTGATTAATATATACCCAATTGCTCTTCAATATTTGAAGACCCCCGACCAGCCTTTGTTACATAAAATGTGTAGTTTCAAGTTTAGCTAAGACTTTTACTTGGCAGTAAGCCAAGTGTCTTAGACTGGTAGTATATATCAAGTAACCTATCATCACAATAATGCTTATTTCTCTGTTTACGTAATTTTCTGAATTTCCTTATTCACCGTATCGTTCATGTGTTACTACCTAAAGTAGTCTCTACGTCGTCTGTTTCTTGTAAATTACTATACTACTCATCTGTCAACATAAAACGAAATTATTTCTTTCATGGTACTAACTTTTCAACACATTTACTTTTTTACATTTCTGTTCTCAATAGCACTATTAGTTAATTGGTGATAAAACTTCTGAAATAACTGTGAATGTGTGACCGAAATTGTATTTTATGTATTTATTTGTGATATAACCACCTAAAAAGTTTCGTGCTACCTTTTTGAAACATAACAAGAACTATAGTAGGCTTGTCACTGCCCTGTATTCTGACCGAAATTAGATAATGTTTCAAGCTAATTAGTCGCTTAATCTCCAGAACCGCACCCACGAGGTTGTGACAGCCCAACATATTTTAGTTCTATATAGGCTCTTTGTACCCACTAGACCAGTTAAAAAATTGAACACCCCTCGGTTCTTTTTCTGATTCTATCCTACCTATTTTTGTAATCTACACTGTGATATAATTTGTTACTTGTCAAATAACTGACAAAAATAGCAAACAGTCCAATTAATTTACCACTCCTTATTTTTCGGATATTACTCCCTATTCTTGCATCATTTCCTCGTTTTGAATGAACAAAACCTATTATAGTAAGATTATTACTGTTCATCAATTCAAGTTTATGTAAGCACTGGTAAAAGTGAAGTATAAAAATTAGTTTCACAGTTTTATCAGCAATGAATTTATTGATTTCATTTTGTTTAAGCGAATAAGCGATCAAACGTTCATACAACAATGAAAAATGTTACCAATATTCGTACTGTTAAGTATGTATATATGATTGATTTAGTGTAAGTAGTAAACTTTCTCTTATTTCCCACAATGAGGAGAATGCAAAATCTTGAGTATAGTTGTGCTACATACTGGATTACTATGGTAAAATTAAACCTCCGATTTATGTCTTTTAGGATCAGATGTTAGGACGTTAAGTAAACTTTTTCATGAATCAAGTGGTCATGCTTGTTCAATAAGTTATTATCTGAGTCTAATGAAAGCCATACTAAAAGATACTTCATTTTTCGTGGGCATGTTTTTTTAGACTGTGTGTGTTCATCTCAATATGTGACTCATGCGAACGTATTTTATTTCGCTGTGCAAGTATATTCATTTGTTTGTGGCTGTACTGTAGTCGTTTTTGATCGACTTAGAGTTTGTAGTGAACTTATCATAATCGATTTCATCAGAAAGGGGGGTTTTGTGGAGATTGTGGTAATTTAATATTTGAATTCATGAGTCTAGACCACTACGGAAAACCTAGAAACTTCAAGAGGTATTTCTTGGAGTTCTAGTGAGAAGCCGTGACCAGTGGAGTTCAACTGTGTCTATTGTGAGGCAGTAACTCACTGAAGGTAATAGTGGACGGTGGCTCAATTTCGTGGATCGGTTAATGTTAGACATTAACACCATTGGTTGCCGGAACAGTGGTCTAGGGATTGGGCGTTCGCACACAAGACCGAAGGCCCTGGGTTCAAATTCCACGAGCGGGATCGTGGATTTACTGCACTGCTGAGGAGTTCCATATTAGGATGAAATGGCCGTTCAGTGATTCTAAGTTTTCCATGATGATCTAGCTTCAATCGACTCATGAATTCAACTATAATCGATATCATCAAGTGATGTTTGTTAGGGTTGTCCGCTTTCCTCATTTTCGTTTAATTTATTCGTATATATTCCTTTGGAGATAAAGTTTTCTTCTAGTCTTTCACAAGTTCATGTGTCAGGCTATCCACTTTCGAAGTTAAAATACTCAGATGATGAAAATAACAGTGGAATTTAGTCTTCTAATCGCCTTGAGCGGCAACACTTACGCGTTTAAGATATGATTCTCCCCATATAAATGCAAAATATTGCTTCAGGACTGGTATGCGTCAACGCTTAGACTAATAATGAAAAGTGATGTAATTAGGTGTGTCGACCATTTGAAAGTCTTATTAGCCTTGGTAGGTTTCTGAATAATGAAATGTTGGTTATCTTTTGCGTCACTTGCGGCTTAGACAAGTGGTCCGTCTACCAACCAAAGGGCATCTATACTGCACAAAAGTCCGTTCTGTTATACTTTATTTCTGTGGAATGTGACTTCTAGATATGGAGATATGTATGTTACTGGTTTTCGATCATAAATCCCCTCGAATTATTCAGTCAGTCACATTGTAGAACTTTGTACGTTCGTACATCAGTTCTGGTTGCCATACCATATTAGCACGGAGATGCAGTTGTCGATTCAAATCGCATAGTGGTAGAGGTGGTAAAAGTATAAGCAGTGATCGGAAAGATTAAGTTTTGGAGATGTTATTTATGGAGTTTAATCCAGTGAAATAAATTTGGAAAGAGAAAAAAAGAGACACAAAGAATTCAGAAGATTAGAATTCGGGAGAACACAAAGAGTGGATGCACCTGCATCATTGCAAACGATTTTGAACCATGTCATTAAGGGTCTCTAATCATCGGTTGCTATCATCTCGCGGTACCCAACCAGGTAGTCTACACCTACCAACATGGCTCAGTCTACTTGTCAGTGACTTCATGGACTTGTGCCATATTTTGGTCTGGCCGCCCCTAACTTTCTTCCAATCTACTCCTATACAACAAAACATCGCGCATCGAGGTAGTCGGTGGTTGGGCGTACGTAACACGTGTCCCAGCCATCTCAACTGATCAAGTTTCACTACGTCATCAATTGACTTGCCATCCTTACCTAGTACCCATTTCCTAACAACTGCCTTACTTACTCGATGGTCCCAGGATATGCTAGCAATCCTTCGAAGACACATATGATCGAATACTAGTAACCTGCGAATTATTGCTCGTGTATGTTGGGATCACCGAGTGTAGAATGTTCAAATTAAGCTTATGATGTTATGTTAAGATGGAAAATCGGCTGATTATGCAGTCCATTTTCGTCAACTGGCATAGTCAGTCAGCTCTAACGTAGGACCAGGCACATTTATGCATCGGTCCAAGTTGCCATACCTCATTAACACAACAAGATGGACACCGGATTCATAAAAGTAGTTAATTCAGAGGTGGTAATATGTAAAAGAAAGATTGCAATAAGGATACAGTACAGGAAGAAAGATTTACTGCGAAGAAAGAAAGATATGAAGCGATTTTAATCTCAAGGGAAGACAGAGAGTGTATACACCGACGCCATTGTGATCAATTCTGAGCCACGTCACCAAGAGTCTCCAACCATTGGTTACGACAGTCACGCGCACTCCAACCAAGTAGTCTGCATCTACCAACACGGCTCAGACTACAAGTTAGTGACTTCAAGCACTGATGCCACGTTTTGGTTTGGCCGCCCCTAACTTTCTTCCTACCATCCCGAACACCGGTTAGCATTGCACGTCGTGGTAATCGGTGTTCGGGCATGCGTAACACGTGGCCCACCTATCTCAGTCGATGAAGATTCACAACCTCATCGACTGATTTACCATCCTTCCCTAATACCCTGCGTCTAACCTCACTATTACTTATCCGGTGATCCCAGCAGACGCCAGCAATATTTCTGAGGCATCTGTGGTCAAATACTGGTATAAGATATTACGCATCCCCAACCACCATTACGCCGATAGGTGATGTTGGGCGGCATAGGAGTAGGTTGAGTAAAATGTATGAGTGACCAAACCAATGCGTAACATCAGTCCTTAAAATCATTGACTGGGGACCAGCCATGTAGGTAGGTTCAGACTGCTCTAACCCTAGCAAGTTCGCACCATTCTCGCAACTAGTGTTTGGAAACGTCGGTTGATACGGCTCAGGATTATTCTCAGGGACCCAGACGTATTCACTCATTTTCTACCACTAGATCCTGAGTCCAAGTCTTTATTTTTCTATACTTGACTTTTACTACTACTGTTATTGTTACTACTCTGCTGTTTGCCTTGACAGTTTCATATCGCTGTGTTAATACGGTGTGGAAACTTGAGCCTAGGTTGTACGTTACATATGACTGACTGTCTAGGATATATCCATGCTTTTTTCACCCTTAACGGCTCTATCTATAGTCTGTTTGTTTTTTAATACACCAATTTACTTAAAATATTTGTATGCAAAAGTTGTGTACCGGTTATCTGTTGGATCTAAAAAATCTTTTGGCGGTTACCCTCTACCTTCAGATTAGTTGAATCTGGAAGAAACAATGAAGATTGTCTTTCATTGGTCTATAGCAGTCAATATTTGGCAGTAATTCATTTAGTATCAGTTGTTTGACATAGTTAGGATCAATAAAAGACATCGGATTTTTTTACATATAAATATAGAACTGAACAAACGGTGCAACTGACAAGATTTACTATTCATCATGGAGTTTATCAGATCAGTCGTGTTGTTAATTACTGTCTTCTTGTTCTTCCGTTCTTTGATTTTGTCCAGTGTTTCTATAGAAATCCATTCCTTATGATGATGCTTCTTGAGGCCCAGAACCTCTTGACACGTTGAAGTTCATGCTTCTTTGATACCTTTCCAGTTGTTCTCCATAGTAGTTTCTTCTTCCTTCAGTAGATCGTGTAAGGCTTGGAACCTGTTGTTGAGGAAGGAAGTCTGTATTGAACCTTTGTAGTGCTGTTTGTCCAGTTGTCCAGTTCTTCTTTAACTTCAGATTTAAATTGGCCACAACTAGGTGGTGATCTGAAGCTATGTCAACTCCTCTCCTAGTTATCACATCTTGCATTGTCCTTCGGAACTTTTTATTGATGCAAATATGATCTATCTGGTTCTCTGTGGTGTGGTCCGGTGAAGTCCATGTAGCTTTGTGTATACGTTTGTGTGGAAATATTGTGCCGCCTATGACCAATTTGTATAATGCACACAGATTTGCAAATCTTTCCCCATCTTCGTTTCTCTCTCCCAGTCAGTCCATTTCGTCCCATGATATCTTCATATCCGGTGTTGTCTATTCCGACTTTGGCATATAGATCTCCCATCAGAATGGTGAGGTCCTTTCTTGGGCACTTCTCTATGGTTAATCGCAGCCTCTCGTGGAATTGATCTTTAATATCGTCGTTGCTATCGCTGGTGGGTGCATAACATGGGATATTCATTATAATCCCCTCCTTCTTTGTTTTGAATGATGTTTTGATGATTCTGGATCCGTGAAATTCCCATCCTACAAGTGCATTTCGTGCTACTTTGGACAGCATTAGAGCGACTCCCTGAGTGTATGGAACATTTTCCTCTTCGTGATCGGAGTATAGCAGCATCTCTCCCGTATTGAGCCTTTGTCGTCCAGCTTGGGTTCAATGAGTTTCGCTGATTCCCAGTACTGCCAAGTTGTATCTCCTCATTTCCGTTGCTATTTGACTGGTCTTCCCGGTCTCCCACATTGTTCGGACGTTCCATGTACCTATAAAGGTTGTTTCTATGGTTGTTAGAAGGGGCATCGGCCTCGTGGCTTCCGAAGGAACTCGGCTTTCACCATGAGGCGTCACAGTTCTTCACGTGGGCTTGGGATCGGCAGTAACTCTAGAAGAGCTACAGGCGGAGTTAAATTTTACTTCATACAAATTAAAAATTGTTTACCCTTCGCATTAGTTTATAAACGAACAGCATATATACTAGATGTGAACATGTATTTTGTGCATTGGGTGTGGTCGTCATAACAAAATTATTGTTCACCTAAAATTTATTGTTGAAATAATACATATACAGATTAGTCACGATTGTATACATGATTCACTGTTATATTAGTATACTAGAGTAAAGCCTGATGAGGATCTAATCGAAAACAATATTGTTCGTTTATATATATTGTTCTATATTAGTTAGCTTCGACAATGATATCTAACAAAGATTGGAAATTCTCTCATAATTTTTCAGTTCGGGAAATGTTGTTGACATTAAAACAACCAAAAATAACAATTTTATATTTCAACTGAGTTACTCTTAACTTTCATTGCAATTTTTATTCTGATTAATTAGTCAAAATATTTTTAAAGTTATTTATGGAATTTATATTTTCGTTAATTCCTAAAGCATATTACAAACTTTTCAGTGTTGTGTCGTTTTCATTAATTTTATGGTCACAAAATGGTTTAGTGCATTTTTGGCGATAGCTATATAAAAATGACTAAATCTAATTTCTGGTAGTTTATTTACTATACATTTTCTAACTCCACTTCAGGTAACCCAGTTTTGCCACTAGCAACTCATGTGAAAGTTTGAACCAAACACATAGAACAGTATTTGATTATAAAGTTACGTTAATACTGTTACTAATTAGTTTGGTCATAAGTGGCTAGTATTTTCTTTTTCTTCACCTATTCTTATTGAGTTGGAACACAAAAAAGCTTGGTACATTGACGTACCAAAATCACCTACCTTACATTGATTTCCTTTATTTGAAATAAACGAACAACTTTCAACCACCTTAATCTCAACTTATTTGATAGTTTGTTATTGTTGCTTTTGTAAGTTTTGACCCGGTTAAACACATGTTCCTTGGACTAAATGGGTATTTTGTTCTAACGTATCAGCTTGATAATGAAAATATATTTAATTCAAATTTCAAGTTGTGTTCATTTTTTATGTTGTATAGGTCAACCTAAAGGCGTTGAAATGACCCATGAAAATTTAGTAAGTGCCATAGCTGGTCATCTACAACGTTTACCGAAACTTCGTAGTAATTACGACATATATGTCGGATATCTACCACTAGCTCATGTTTTAGAGCTTACCTGTGAATTATCCTGTGTCATTATGGGTGTACGAGTAAGTTTCATGACAACTTTCTTCATACTTTTTTTGTTACAATATTCTTGTTTAAAATAGTCAGTTTAAATTACAGTAAAGAGAAACAATTGTACTTGCTTACGCCTGTTGCCTCTCGTGGAGGAGCAAAGGCCACCTATCAGCGTTCTCCATCGAACTCTGTCATGGGCAATCCTTTTCAGTTGCTATTCATCCTTTACATGTCTGTTTCTAATTCCCGATGTAGTATGTTCTTCGACCTTCCTTTTTCCGTTTCCTTTTAGGATTCCAAGTTAGTGCTTACCTCGTGATGTATTTTGGTGGTTTCCGTAATGTATGTCCTATTCATATACAACGCCTTTTCCTAATTTCCTCTTCAAATAAAAGCCGATTCTTTTCTCTCCCACAGTAGGCTGTTGCTAATGGTATCCGATCAACGGACATTGAGTATCTTGTGTGGACAATTGTTTATAAGTACCTGTACCTTTTTGATTATGGTTGTAGTAGTTCTCTAAGTTCCAGCTCTGCTCAGTAGAACTGTTGTTCATTGCTTATTTAGCTTCAGTTTCATTTTGGAAACCACCAGGTTGTGATCTGAAGCTATGTCAGCACCTCTCCCTGTTCTCACGTCTTCCATTGACCTTCTAAATTTTTTAGTGATGCAAATATGATATATCTGGTTCTGCGTAGTGTGATTCTGTGAAACCCATGTAACTAGTGTATGCGTTTGTGGGGGAATATTGTACCACCTATAACTTTTGTTGAATGCACATAGAATTGCAAATCTGTCACTATCCTCGTTTCTTTCTCCCAGTTCATGTCGTACCATGCTATCTTCATACTCGGTGTTGTCCATTCCGACTTCAGCATTTAGGTCTCCGATCAGGATGGTCAGATTCTTTCCTAGACACTTCTCTGTGATCGATTGCGATCTCGTAAAACTAATCTTTATCGTCGTCGTTGCTATCACTGGATAACATCCATTGTGATCCCCTTGTTCTTTGTATTCTTTGATGATTCTTGATCCATGAGATTCGCATTCTATAAGTGTATGTCGTGCTTCTTTGGACAACATCAGGGTAACTCCCTGAATGTGTGGAGCATTTTCTTCTTCGTGGCCAAAGTACAACAGTATCTCCCGAATCTAACCGTTTCTGTCCAGCTTGAATTCAATGCGTTCCACTGATTCTGAGCACTGCCAATTTGTATCTCATTTCCGTGGCTATTTGATTAGTCCTTCTGGTCTCATACATTGCCTGGACATTCCATGTACCCTCATTAATTGTCACTGGTTGTTAGAAGGGGTATATCGTCCTCGTGAATTCTGAGTAATATCGGCTTTCACTAGGAATCGTCATGATTCTCCTAGATGAAGATCCTCCAACTCCCAGGGCAAAGTTTAAATGGTATAAAGGTTTTTTTTCTGGTTAGCGTTTCTTAACAAGGTTGTTTTGTACGGGAAATGGTTGTTGAGCCCATACCCAACCCCCCTCTTTTATCCGGGATTAAAATCGACAATAACCGTAGAAGTGCTACAGGCGGAGTGATATGAATTTCCTTTATTTCATAAATTCTTTCCAGTTGCTTACAATTTAGAAACTAGTTTTGATTATTAAAATCAAAATAAGTCTTGGTTAATGTTAATATTGATATAGATGTAGAATAGTATTCAAAAGACAATTATTATAAAAAGATTAAATGGTTTGTATACAGTTGTTGACTAGAAAGAAGAGTTCAGGAAGTAGTTGGTTGGAGAATCCTGGCCTATGCTCCACAAGGGGTGATAGGCGTAAGTAAGTATAAGATGAATATACGGATATCTTAGCAGAGTAAACTGAGAAAAGCATGAAAACATGATTCTAGTAATAGAAGATCAATTTCAGAGGTTATATGATACTAAATGCCACGGAGTTAACTAAGTCAAGTTTAGCTTAGGAAACGAAAAGAAAAGGAAAAGAATTAAGGGTGTGAGGAAATCAGTGTCACGTAGCCAATTCTTAAAACTATGGTCATCAAGGCAAAGAACATTCGACAACGTTGTTCTTCTAAGCTCAAATTTGGTTTAAATCTTTGTATATTAACGGCTTTGCTAAAGCATAAACTTCAGATAAAAGTTTATACTTTATGTCTTATAATACAGATGTCAATCAGTCAGTCACAACATGGAACCTGGTACATATGTACGTCGGTTCAAGGTGCCATACTCCATTAGCACAAAGCAACGAAGTTCTCAGGCCAAACCCTAGAATAGTAGAGGTAGTAACTATCAGTGGTAATAGAAGAGATACGATTCAAGTAGAAAACATAAATTAGTGAAACTAAGACCAAAAAATTTGAGGAATTCAGGAGCTACCTATGCCTTTTTTACATGGCTAAGAAAATTGTCAGTGGTTCCATAGACTGATACCATGTTTTTAGTTTGGCCGCCCCTATCTTTCTTCCAGCCTACTTCACCAGAAAACACCACCCATCGAGCTAGGGGGTGGTTTTACATACGTATCGGATGTCCCAACCACCTCATTTGATGAAGATTTACTAACTCGTCAATCGATTTCTTGTTCTTACCCAGTATCCTACTCATAATCTTGGCATTGCTTACTCCGTGATCCCAAAATATATAAGCGATGCTTTGTAGACGTATTTAATCAAATACCAGTAACATACAGATATCTTCTACTCTTGATGACCATGCTTCACATCCATCCTTTGTGCAGTAAACTCGTTCTTTAGTTGGAAGACACCATGATTTTGTCGTTATGTACAGTCAAAGTGGACTTGATGCACATCTATATATGATTGCTAAGCTTTATTATATTGTCATAAATTTTTCACAGATTGGTTACTCGAATCCACAGACATTAACAGACACTTCATCCCGTATTAAACGAGATCACTGCTTGGGTGATGTCAGTCTTCTTCGACCAACTCTTTTTGCCAGTGTGCCTACTGTATTAGAACGTATTTCTAAGGCTGTTTGGGAAAAAGTAAACGCTGGCGGTGAATTTCTTCAAGCTGTAAGTTTACATCAAAATGTTTCTAATTGATATACTCTACGTTAAAGATTCTGATTTCATTATTAAGTCTTTCTAGCGTCACCATCGTTAATAAGTAATGTAATAAGCTTTCGTTTATTGTTTCATTTATTATAGATAAAAAGTACTGATATTCATCTCTATGGTAAACAGTAGTTAACTTATTGTATTGATTGATCTTTATGAAATTCCTTACATATTACGGGTTGGAAGTGTATACCACGATCAACCTCACAGTTATCCGGTTATTGGTATTCTGGAAAAGCACTGAGTATTTTTTTGTTAGGGCTTGACAAGAGGTATTTTTATTTATCAGTAAGCTCATTCTTTATTCAAGAATTTAATTTACATCTGTCAATACTGAAATTAAAAACACTAATCTCAAACTTTTTGAACGGCGACTGGTAGTTTTGTAGCATCATGTGCATTTGTTCACTTTAGTTGTTAACCTTCGTGATCTAGTTCTCAATATTTTTAAACTTTATGAAATAACGTTATTGAGTGTAGTTGATTTCTTACTGGGTAATGTCCTTTCTTCCACAATGTCTAAAACAGAGTATGATGCACTGTGATGACGTATCATATGGCGAATCTTTTTCCACGGAATTCAAAAAGTACCATGGTCTAGAATTTGTTCATTATTTAAATGTCCAAATAATAAGCTTTTCCTCCAAAGATGTCGTTTTACTGTGAACGAGAAAACAGGTGGGGATAACCGGTTGTATTTGAATATCAAATCTTTTGATAAAATATAAGAACCATACATCGAGTACTTCATTTGCAAAATTCCATCATTTGTCCTTCAGATTATATATGATTCTTCTAAGTCACAATTACTTTCTATTTCCCTTTCTATATTCTTCAACTTGATCTTCTCAGCCTCCTGCTGCCTGGTTTTCCACTTCCGATTAGTGCTACATACTGTTTATGTCTGTCGACATAAGTAGCATGCACGACAGTTTGAATAACGTAACATAAAATTGCATATAATATTTAATTTGCGTAGCACTATTTGAAGCACCGGTACCATCATCATCAGATCATATATAAACATGGTTCGTACAAATATATGCACATTAATCGCTCACGTCACAATCACTTATCGTCCCAATATATAAGAGAGGGTTTAAATCATCCTGTGACAACCATAGAGGGATTAGTTTAACTAATATAGTATCTAAAATACTAACCTCGATAATTATCAGACGCCTAACTAAGACTCGTGAACTGCAAACACGAGAGAATCAAGCTGGCTTCAGACCTGGTCGTGGCTGCATCGACCACATATTCACCATTCGTCAGGTTCTAGAACACAGACATACTTATCGGCGTCCAAGAATGGCGGTCTTTCTTGACTTAAAAGCAGCATTTGACTCGGTAGACCGCGAGATTCTGTGGCAGTGTCTGTCATTGAAAGGCGTACCTCAGAAGTACATAAACCTTGTGAAGACTTTACTCGAACACTACCAGTCGAATCAGAGCTTATGGTGAACTGTCATCTGCTTTTGCAACCTAACCTCAAGTGGTGTCCGTCAAGGCTGTCCACTTTCTCCATTTTTGTTTAACTTCATCATAGACCTACTGCTGGAAATAACATTCTCGTCGACTGAATTCTCGGGTATTGATCTCCTTCCAGGAGGTCCACTTATCGACTTAGAATACGCAGATGACTGTACTATATCCTTATACACAATCTTTCTTTCATATATTACCACCTCTGAATTAACTACTTTTATGGATCCGGTGTCCATCTTGTTGTGTTAATGAGGTATGGCAACTTGGACCGATGCATATATGTGTCTGGTCCTACGTTGTAGCTGACTGACTAATCGCTCACTGACACATAGCTATTTACTTTTTGGTGCCGTTAAATTCTGTCTAACAAGTGTACAATGTGACCACTATTATTAGCAGCTGAATATCGCGATGCTCTGCATTTGATTTATAATTTTTAGAGGTATTCTATCGAAAACCATGAATACGCGTTGCTGTAATCGACCGGTAACACACAATTTATGTAGAACTATCGCGGTGATTTTCGGATTATTGTTAACGCTCAGTTAAATTCAGAAAATTATGTGCTTATAAGTTAAGTCAATCGACCTCTAAGCATTGGATCTCAGTTTGAAACCTTACTGCTAGCATCCATTTTGGCTTGGCTGCATGGGTAGTGTCATACAGATCATGCATTATCGGTTTACATCAAACCTGATTAATGAATGAGTCATGTGTGGATGAGTTATCATCCATTTTAAGATTTCCGCTACAGACATTACTTTCATTTGTGAAACCACCTTATATATCTTATGTCAGTACAATGTTTACTGTCAATTCTGTGGCAAATTGTGGAATGTTTTCGTTTACCTCAAGAATCTAAACAGTTAACTGGTTTATGTCTCACTAGAATAAATAACTAGCACATATTATTAATAGAAAAGGTCATCATAAACAGTGATTTTTACTACATTGAATCACTTCTCAAAATCTGATTTTATTAAAATCTAAATAGAAACTTTATATTGAGATTCTTGTATTTTATAGTTCACATTAATAAATTAATTAACTGTAAATAACGTTGATAACCCGGTTGTTGTGACATGTTGACAACTTTACTGTTTAACGAATAAAAATTAGAGGTAGTAATTTAGCATAAGGTCATGTTTACTTTATAGTAAATAAAACACTGTTATTATCATTAACTATACACGTGTGTCATCGTGGCTGATTTTGTATTGAAGTTAATCTACATCATTTTGTGTCCTCCAGTCTTATCTACAATTAATCTGCATGCATTAATAACTATTGATTGACTTAATCAATTGTATTAAATTATACCCGTTTTAAACATGTTACCAAGTTGACTCATTATTTATCTTTCTTTTTTTTTAATTGTTACATAATCGCAATTAATATGTTCAATCTTATATTTATAACCAAACATGATGGTGATAATTATTGACCTATTAGCTCATATTGTCTTTGTTGTAGCATTTTGTTTATAAAAAAATTGGTTATCTTATTGATAGAAATATCAAGTCATATCAACTTTTATGAATTATTTTTATGGTGGTCATTCAGTAATTATGAGAATATTGTAATATGAAATGTTAATTGAAAAATGAGCAATAATATAATTTTGTACCTGTGTGTATTTGCGATTGTCTGGATAAAAAAAACTTGACGTAAATCTTTGTAAAACATCGTAATTTTATGACATTTATTTTTCAGTTCAATCTATATCTATACCAAGCTAGCCCTACTTTTTTGATATGATGTAAACTGGAATGGCTAACGGTTGACTGTAAAAGATGTCTATAAAAAGAAAAGCTGGACTGAAAATTTTTGAGTTTTTTAAACATGCAAGATATGAAAAATTACTTTAAAAATCATGCTAAATCATTTTGACAATCTTAAAAATGTGTATAACAGTGAATTGAAAATAGCTTATATAAATTATCATTTCTGTTCATTCGAATGCATTCTCAGCTTAGCAAGCCTAAAAGCTTTAAAAAATATAGAAAACTAGCAAAGGTTTTATCGAATGGTTTTAATGACTTTTGATGCTAGCTAGTGCATAATGAATCGTAGTACACGTCTTACAAGTATAATTGGTGTTTTGGATTCCTCTGCTGCCACCCCGTCAATGATATTCGTGTGTATATTTTGTAGGTATATTATCCGACTGTGTTGTGTAATATATTTTTATGTATTATAGACTTTTCAGATTCAGTAGATTGCTAAGTTTCTCCAGTGAATTGACAAACACAGTCTCGTTTGAAATTATCTTTTCAGATATAATATCGTTAACAGTAAAAATGGATAATCCTAGAATAACAAATAATTTGAACTAGTTTTGATATTTAAATAAAGTAACGCTGTTTGCCATCTCTTTTCTTTTTCTTACCATAAAAATGTTTGTTAGTATTACCTTGTTCATGTTATCTTTTTTCATATAGCTCTTCAAATTTGCATATGCCTACAAATGTCGACGAATTCACGGTGGTTTTCCAAGTTTCCTTGTGGATCGATTGGTTTTCCGTAAGGTTAGATCACTCATGGGTGGGCGAATTCGTTATATTGTTTGTGGTGGTGCACCGTTATCAGAAGATTCACAATTATTCACAAATATATGCATCGCACCTATTATACAAGGGTAAGGATTCTATTCCGCGACTATACAGGGAGATAAATTTATCGACTAAAAATGTACTCCGTGAAGGTTTTTCTAACATATCTTATGGCAAACAGACTAAATATGATGTCACATGTCAATATCACTATTTCATCAGGTTCTCACTAAGCAGGGAAGTCAAAGGTCATTGGTTTGAGCACTTCACATTTAGCATATATCCAGACCTCACTCCATTTGTTTTTCTTGAATAATAAAATTAGTTTCTTCACACTTGCACGATAACATATGGCTTAACCTACACTTACTAAGTTGCTCTCTTCATTATTTTGTAGTGAGCGAGAACACAAGCGGGGACAACCAGATGTATTTTAATACAACACTACAGACTATCGTGGTCAGATCTGAGAGCCATGCAGTGATACTTCATTTACAAAATATCCATCAATTGTCTCAGATTTTGTTGTTCCTTTGTTTCCGTGCCAATCACCCTCTTCTCGTTCTCTTCTGTTTTCTCTACCTCCTGCCTCCAGGCATTCCACTTTCTGTCAATCACAATTGATTGGTCACCACCCAGTGATCAATCAATTGTGATTACATCTCAGTCCTACAGGAGGTTAGTCACGGCTCGGATAGCTCAGTGGTAACGGCTTTGACTGTGAAGCTGGGTGACACGAGGTCGAATCCTCCAGTGAGCACCAGTTCCCTCAAGATTACAGGTACACCTTGTCGACAAGTGCCAAGTAGCACGAAACCCGGGTCCAGGGTTTCCTGTTGACTACCTCCATCTACCATCTAAATCTCACTTTTTGTCAATATCAGTAGCATACACCACAATTTAACTAACTACTAGTCACTAATTAACATGGTTTTCAATCAAGGTTTTATTTAAGACAGCAACTATCGATCCAAAGTACTCTAAACATTAGAATTATTTATCTCTTTTCTACAATAACAATTTATCAATGATTGTGGAAGGGTTAATTTAATTCTTCTCAGTTCCTGTCGGTTTAATCACGATGTCATGTGCACTGTATTTTATTAAACAACACATTCAATTTAGTTCAACAAATATATTTAACTACAGACCTCAGTGTTCTGATAGGGTTTTGCTGTGCGTATAAATCGCTATTTATCAATTTCATCGAATGATGTGTATATTCGAATATGTATTACTTGGGAACAGTTGAACTTTCCTCAGATGTCAATTCATAATCAAAGGTTTCTGAGTATATTAGTTCCATGTATTTTTTTAAAAAAATTGTATCTAATAAAAGATGAACAATAGTTTCTAATTAACTACGACGATATTTTACTTACACCTGTTTCCCCTTGTGAAGCATAAGCTGCCGACCAGGGATCTCTAAATAACTGTTTCAGGCTTTCCTTCCCAATTGTTGTCAACTTCTGTTCATAATTTTGCTATCTGCTCTAATTCTCTATCCCATATGTTCTTTGGTCTGTGATGCGGTTTAATGGATTCTTCAGACTGTATCCTACCTATCTCCAACGTCGTTTCTTAATTTCCTCTTCAGCTGTAAGCTGGTATACTCTCTACCACAGTAGGCTTTTGCTGGTGTCCGGCCTACGGGTCTTGAGTATAGTACACAGACAATATGCAGCAGTTTGGAAGACTCTACCGGTCTCTCACATTGTACGAGCATTCCATGTACTTAAGTAAATGGTTGCTCTGGTTGTTAGAAGGGGCATGGCTTCCGAAGGAACTCGGCTTTTACCATGAGGCGTCATAGTTCTTCTAAATGAAGACCTTCTAAATTCCAGGGCAGAGTTTGAATGGTTTGAATTATTTTTTTCTGGTTAGCGTCTTTTATAGTGACTTAGTTTTCTACGGGACGGGGTCGCCAATCTTTCTCCTTTATCCGGCTTGGGACCGGCAGTAGCCCCAGTGGGGCTCCAGACGGAGTTATGGTACACAGATAGTTGTTTATAAATAATTGATACTTTTTGATGATGGTTGCAGTAGTTCTCTGTTTTTGACTTCGTACATTAGAACCGTCTCGGCATTTGTAAATATATTACTTCCTCGTAATAAACACTAATCATATGTTTTATGCCGAGTACTTAGCTATTTTTCATATCGTTGCTATTCATGTAATGGAGTCTCTCTCTAGTTAATTTGTCAAATGAGAATTTTCAGTTTTTGTATATTTTGTCTCCTAGAATTGTTTATCAGGAGTTATACAGTAGTGATGAACTTGGATTCATAAATATTTTTACCAATAGTTTCATTTAATATCGTATTATTTCAGTCATACATTGTTAGTTTTTAATATATATATATATATATATATAGAGAGAGAGAGAGAGAGAGAGAGAGATTTGATATAATTCCGTGCACTTTTCATAGATGTGATTGCAATAGTTACTAAACTTTACTTTTTTCATTTCAGTAATTTTTGTAAAAAGTTGACTATAACACACATTTAGTTTGCTTGGGCAATTAAGTTTAATTAGGAGGCCTGTTAACATGTATCAGGATATGGTTTACAGTGTCTTTCATGGGCTCAGATTTTGTTTTGTGGGGTTAGCTTAAAGGGTAGGACAGTGGTATTTAGTGTTACATATCATTAGTACATAAAAGCGTGTTTATTCTTAAAATTATTTTACTTAATCGTTAAAAGCATTAAAGTAACTTGATGAACGATGTCTCGAACTAAATATAAAATTTCAACTGCTTTACTGGCAAATTTCTTTTACAGTTATGGTCTTACTGAGTCATGTTCTACTGGCACTTTGATGGAATGTGGGGATCTGCGATGTAATCATTCTGGAGCACCTGCTTCTACTCTACAAATTCGTCTACGAGCATGGCCTGAAGGTGGGTATTCTCCCTATGATACACCGTCTCCACGTGGGGAGATTCTTTTATCTGGTAAACCGGTTTCTCGAGGCTATTACAAACAGCCTGAATTGACAGCTAGAGATTTCATAACCGATCAAGACGGCACACGTTGGTTTTGTACTGGTACGTTTCGCTTAGTTAACTGTTCCTATCATGTTGATAAGTAAAGTTTGTTTTGCTATGTTTTGACTTGAGATTATTTCAAATACGCAAGATATTTCTTGACAGTTATCATCAATCACTTGATGGTAACGATGTTAGCATGTATGTAATAAATGGGACTTCTGCGATTTGAGCCTTCCTTCCAAGTGCACGCTCTACGAGCAGATTTAATTCCTCTGTCAACCTACCGTTTTAGATTGTTGTGATTTTCAAAAGTCAATATTATGTTCTGTTTTCCCTGTGTACGCGAAAGGGACGCTAATTTGCCTTAGACGAATATCTATACTACATACCCTCTCAGTGTATATTCTATAGGACTTCAACACAACTCGGATCAAGAACACGTGACTAGAATGTAAGTATATTTCCACATCAAAAACTGACAACAATCACAATAATAATAAGGGTAAGAGAATATATAATTCACCCAGTATCTGTCAGACTATCTACTAGTCTGACTAAACAAGCAACCAATCATCTTCCTTGCCCACATGTCACATGGACAATTTTATGAATTATTTCAAAACTTATATGAGGATATCCTGATATGGAATTAACTTCGGTTTCATCGCTCATTTATATCTTCATATTCAATACATTCTGTAAATTATAGTGTTAATTAGTTTTTATACACAAATGTTTTTGTATGTTACATTTTATTCTTATTAATCTATTTTTCAGGGGATATTGGTCTGATGCATACAGATGGAAGTCTATCAATTATTGACCGTAAAAAAGATCTTGTTAAACTACAAGCTGGGGAATATGTTTCCCTTAGCAAAGTTGAAATGGCTCTTGGTCAATCAGTCTATGTTGAACAAATTTGTGTTTATGTGGACCCGATGCAAAATTATCCAATCTGTTTCGTGTCGCCGAAATTAAAATCGCTTACTGACTTAGCAGAATCTTTGAACTTAGTTCACTTACTTCATGAAGCTCGTTCAAAGCTTCCTATAGAATCAATGAAAGATCCCATTGCTATCGAACATGTAGAACGGGCTGTTCTCTGTAAACATCCTCAAGTGAGTCTTATTCGTTTAGAAAAATATGGTTGTAATAAACAATTGAATTCGGCCATAATATGTCATCTTATGATATAATGTTTCTATATTTACTTCGTGTTAAGGCCATTGTCTGTTTACCTTATGATCTTTTAATTCAAGGTCAGTTCATTTCGCCCCATTACTACATTTAGGCTGGTTATAAAAGTCACACCATATGGCGTGATATGAATGTCCTTTTTAAGGTCTCTCACATCTCTGCTAATCTTATTGGCCAATAAGCGTGTGTCAGGTATAAGTAAAGACACACCTGCAATTGATTCACTTTTATATAACATTATGTAATTGATGGATTAATGTCATGATAAAATTGTTTACTAAATGTTTGTCTAAAGTTGTATAACCAAGTACTTTTCGGATCTAATCTATTTCTCTATTAATTTTATAGTCTTGTATATTGTATTACTGGATAAAATAAACTTTCATTTCCTTGCCTGACTACTACTAAATCTCCCCAATCACCATTGTAAAACGGGGTGGATTTAAATTCATTTGTATTGGTTGCTTGATGTTATGGGCTGCATGCAGTTGATCCATCTCTTTTGGCTTGATATTGCCATTGAGTCACAAGCCAGTGTTTATCTGAACTCAGCAGCTAAATGAATGACACGGTGGGTGTTTGAGGTAAAAGTCACTCGGTTCGGGTCCCGGTGCGAGTATCAGCACGGATGTACGTACATCCTCCTGATGAGTTCTAAATGTGACGAAACGCTTGACCTGGATTCCACGGTTAACCACCATCTATTTCTGCTTATGATACTTGTGACTTACTGGGAATACCAAAAGGATCCTCAAAAGTTGCACATATCATTAAAAGAGACTGATCAATCTCATGCGGTCTATAACATCATCAGGAAGATTCAAAAAACTAATAGAAATGAGGAAATAATTATCTGTTTTTGTAATGTATGGCACCAATTAATATTTGATTAGGTTAATAATAAAATACCTCATTGATATTATTGTCTAATTAGCTGATGTAAAAGTAAAGTGACTACACGTAATCTGATGTATATTATAATCTAGCTATCGTAACTAAAAGTTGTCTGTGTGATCATTTCAAACGAAATTTTAGTTTTGTTTAACTCGTTTCAACGTTTTTTTTTAAAAATTTGACCATCTATTTTAATCATACAAACTTGTGATACAACCATAGTTAAAATAAGCACTACACACTATTTGTCAAGCGGATGGTGATTACTTTCGACAACTTTGAAGCGTTCCAATTTCAGTGAGAATGAGTTCAGTCACTTTTATCTATGACTAAATTCTATTAGGAGATTTTTTCACAATATTCATTTATAGTCTTATTCTTTTGTCTCAATGTTGTTATAAGTGTTCTATTTTCAGATGGTGATTAATTCAATATACTATATGCCCAGTGTAGTACCTATCGTTAATAAATTTATCATTCCTATTTTTGTGATTTGAGATGTCTGTTATCCTCAGCTAATGGGCTTGTTTGTGATTTAAAATCATTCGGAGGCTTAATTCATTGGTCTGGTCTGGTAAGCAGGCATCACTCGATCACAATTTGTATCACTATTTATCATCTATTGACCAGCATTCTTCACGTTCGTTTTAACAATCGAACATTTCGTTTACCATTGTCTCATTATTCTAAATTATTTTATTGAAAATAAATTTTGCAGATAAAATTATAAAATAATATAACTTTAGAATAATGTCATACTAACATGTGATTTTTATCAACCTTTACCCAGTTCTAATATGTATTAGTTAATTGTCAAATGTCTTATTGGTATATATTTACTTATAAATCACTTGTTCAACTCATCCTTTTATATTTAAATTTCAATTAAAATGCTTCTCTGTTTTTTTCTCTCTTCATTATTCTAGATTATACAAGCTGTATTAAAAGATTTACAACGAGTTGCTAGAGAAAAACGTTTAAGTACATTTGAAATACCACAAAAAGTTGCTTTAGATACTATAGCTTGGACACCAGACACTGGTCTTGTAACGGATGCATTAAAATTAAAACGTTTCAACTTACAAACTCGTTTTCAACATGAAATTGAAGAACTTTATCAGAAGGATACACGAGCGTAATTATTAAATTAATAATAAATATCCTTCACCAAATGAATTATTGAAATGTATGCAGTACATTCCGTCTTCATCATTAGTATTTAATATATATGTGAATGGGTATAATATCAACAGCTTATTTGTATTAAACCTTTGAAATAGACTCAAACAGTTATCAATTAAATCATATAAACCAACAATATATATATATATATAAAATCGATTCATTTATCTTTAGTTTTACCAGTCAGTTGTATACAAGTCATTGAACATATTCATTATGGTCGTCAAAAAACGTATGCATATGATATATACATACGTGATAAATGGTACTTGAATGGTTTACGTTTTTCTTCTCTGTCTTCATATCAACCACATTCGTTTGTGACTTCCTTAAATTTCTCTGTAGTATACTTCTCTCGCTCATTCTGATTTGTCAGCTTTCGTAGAGTTGTATCTGTCATCAATTCATATGTCTTCTTCCTGTTTATCTTGGTAACAGTAGTAATATTAATACCAATGATAATTATCGTACCATTGACGATCAAACTAGTGTATTTAAAATGGTTATCTCCAAAGGTACACGTCTTTTTCATTCTGTTTTGTTCCATCATTATTTTCACTCGTTAATATGATTAATACTATACATGTTTCATATATATTATTTACTTGCTTTTATTCTGTTTCTTGTCTAAATATTTACCGTCTCACCTATTGATTTTTTCTTTGTAGTTTAATGTATTTCTATTTGTCTTGAAGACATTTGTGTATGTTTTATAATCTTAGTTCGATGTTCAATTATTTTATTGTTTTTTTTGGTATTAAATGTAACAAATGGTGTAACTCATTCATCTCATAAGTTCATTATTGACACTTCGTTATCAATTTAATTTAATGGATTATTCAATGTAGTTTATATGTATCTGCATCTATATTTACAAACATCTAAGAAAGATTATGGAAAAAATTAGTATCTTCAGTACATTCACCTTATTTCCACGCATACACATTTACTCTTTCATTCATTTTTCACCAATCTTTGGAAAATACACATCGTTGCTTTATATACAGGCAACATTAGTTGATAACGAGTCTTTGTGTCTGTATTGATTTCACTTACTATTTACTTCATCCTTTTGTAAATTTTCATAATTGTTTCTTATAAAATAAAAATTATTCGCGGAATGATTTTCTTAGCATTCCCCTCCTTAATTACCAAGAGTTTTGCATTACTAAGTCTAGCCAACTGTTGTTACCTTTCCCATACTATTTGGTTGAGAGAAATTAATTCAGTCGGTAACAACGTAGAACTTCGTACGTACGTACATCAGTTCGAGTTGGCACACCACATTAGCACAGAGATACAGTGGTCGATTCAAATCCCGTAGTGCTAGATGTAATAAAATTATAAGCTGTAATCAGAAAAATTAGGGTTTGTAGATGTTATTCAAGGAGTATAATCCAGTGAAATAAATTTGGAAGAAAAAATAAGGGACACGAAGAATTCAGAAGATTAGAATTTGGGAGAACACAGAGAGGGGATGCACCTGCGCCATTGCAAACGATTTTGAGCCATGTCATTCAGGGTCTCTAACCATCGGTTGCTATCATCACGCGGTACCCAACCAGGTGGTCTACACCTGCCAACATGGCTCAGTCTACTTGTCAATAACTTCATGAACTTGTGCCATGTTTTGGTCTAGCCGCCCCTAACTTTCTTCCAATCTACTCCTACACCACAAAACATCGAGCATCGAGGTAGTCGGTGGTTGGGCGTACGTAACACATGTCCCAGCCATCTCGACTGATAGTGTTCGATTACGTCATCAACTGATTTGCCATCCTTACCTAGTACCCATTTCCTAACAACCGCATTACTTACTCGATGGTCCCAGGATATACGAGCAATCCTTCGAAGACACATATGATCGAATACTAGGAACCTACGGATATCCTATACTCTTACCGGCCGTGTTTCACAGCCATAAAGTAGGACGGAACGAACTGTTGCGCAGTAAACACTTCCTTTGGTTGATAGACGGATATCTCGCCTTCTCTGATTTTATTTCATATTCCCAAAGTGTTTTCCTTAATTTATTTCTCCACCTTCAAGACACTCATGGACTTGGAGTATACGAACAACGGTTCCGTTTTCTGGTTTTTGATAAATTTCCAGGGTGCTTCAGGACAGGTTAGTCTTCACCCTCAATTATTCACTGAGGAGTCAGGGAATTGACTGTTTCATTTATCATCGGATTCTTGCACTCACTAGGTCGGTGTCTGACAAAATATGCTTTCTCCTATCAATCACTTTATCTTTGCCACAGGCGAGATGTACGTCTGTCTACTAAGAAACGAATTTCCTCTGTTATACTGATTTTTAAAAATAGAAAGCGTGTGCAAACCGTAAATATTTGCAACAATGATTACTATGAAATAGGCGAAGAGTGTAAAGGTGTGTACGTCGAAAATTTCTTTTGGTATTTATTATTTATTTATTTGAACACATAAATACTCGTACAAGGGGGAACCAGATACATATGCGCCACACAAATCTCATTTGATTTGTGTGAGGGCTGTAATACTGCCCGGGTGCCCATACCAAAGCAGGTGGTTTTCTTAGTGGGCCACACCCGGAGCCTTCGACCTAAAGGTCTGATTCACAAGGCAGTGGAGCATTGTAAGGAGACGCAGTCCCATGGTGGCCAGTGACCAACAATTGATTCATACGCCATTTGTTCCGTCAGGATACTGGAGCCCATGGGCACCATTGGTTTGGAATCAGGGTATTCCAACTTCCCTATGTGAACTCTCCGTGTCCACCAACCCGGTTAATGTGCCGGAATTCTCTTTTCGTCCTCTCAATTTCGTAAATAACACCCACGCCGCGAGAAGGCAGTGAGTAGGACTTCCCTGGCAGAGGCTATATACGTGTGGCCTTGTGAGAGCATTTCGAGAGGGAGAGCTGACTCTCCCCACTCTCGGCCGTACCAGGGCACTTGGGGGCTTATGGTATTTCGTCTCAAAACATAAACGTTATGTTGGGAAGGGTTTTCACGCATTTCGACTTCACAGTGCTTTGTCTGATCTCATCTTGTATTCTGTCGTAGGTTATATTTCAGTATTCCTATGCAATTCGCCATTGGACCTTGGAAGTGTAACAAATAGTGTACTAGCTTGAAGTTTAGTGTAAGACTGAAATTATTGTGCCTTTTCTAAAAACAGGCCAAGCCTAAAGTAATTCTAACTACAATCCACTCCCGAATTTTTTCCCGTAAGTATCGCTTTATTCCTTTGATTTTAAGTTCGTCACATGCGTAACTTTTGTGTATGCGCAAGCATTATTTAACGAATGAGATGATACAGACTACGTGCCTTCGAATCAACGGACGTATCTTCAGAGTATGTTGCGTCATTAGAGTATCTTTAGTCAAGGTCTAAGATTGATTGTTCATATTTAAGGGAACTGGTAAGAGAGTGAGTTTGATTTGTGCGTAGTATTCGGTGGCTGGAGGTAGTCGACAGGAAATCATGGATCCGGGTTTCGTGCTACCATCTAATCTCAACATAGTGCATGGAGTGTCGAGTCACCTAGACTGGTGACCACATTGCAACATGATCGATAACATTCGATCTGCACTAATAAGGAATTGGCACACATGACATTGATCACCACCTAGTGATCAATCAATTGTGATTACACCTCAGTCCTACAGGAGGTCGGTCGCTGCCCAGACAGCTCAGTGGCAACGTCTCTGACTGAAGGTGAGCGACACGGGATCGAATCCGTCAGGGAGCACCAGTCCCCTCAAGATTACAGGTACATCTTGTTGACAAGTGCCAAGTAGCAGGAAACCCTGGTCCAGTGTTTCCTGTCGACTACCTCCAACCACCGTCTAACTCTTTTTAATTTATTTCTGACTACTGCTCACGTGATGCGCTACAGTTACTGGCGTAGATGTTAGCTGAGTAAGGTTTTGTGAATAAATAATGGCTTTGTGCCTGCGTGTATCATTTTTGGGGTTAGTTTTGTCTAAAGGAGGTGACGTGTATGATAGCATTAATCAATGGTTTGGGGATTTGAGTTATGTATATGTAAATCGGTTACAATATTGGACGTAGTGTTGTTCCACACTTCCACCCCTAGTTTCTCTTCACTGTTGCATTTTACTTCTTTGATCTTACTGTTCTAATTTTAAGCGTAGTCACTTAGGATTAGATTTGCACCAAGTCCTGTGTTTATTATATATGCCTGTTTGTGAAATTGTTCATTCGCCCAATTTGACTTGAAATTCGTGATCCAACCGTCCGGAACCACACTACACTTTTACTATTAGTAAATAAAAATAGAAGTGTTAAATCATGTTTGATTTAATATTGATTCCATTTAACAATGGTTTTTATTTTAAACATCTGTACTGAGAATAAAACAAACAAGCGAATATGTAATCATTTGTACTAAGCTGGGTTACATACTTTCCACCTATCAATAAAACTTGAAAATACCTTAGATCTTTTAGATTTTTCTTTAGACATAAGACATTCTATATAAGTTCCTAGTTCTTGGGGTCTAAACGGTTTTAAGGATTTCATCTAATAGTTAATCTTGGATCCAAGCTTTCAGGTAATCTTTCGACTTGTGGTTCTTTTATTTTTTTTTTACAAACTAAATATAAGTTATAAACATTGGTTTTAATCAACTATTACATATTATAATCTACTGAAAGGTAATCTGTTCATATATGTTAGTCTTATTTTTATTATATCATAAGTTTGTTTTTAATATTGTCAAAATAAACAGTATCAAAATTAGCTCCAAAAAGTGAGAAAAAAGAACATTTTAATTCGAATTACCTCTTATTTTACTCTGTGTACTTTGGCTTTATAGTTTTACCATTCAGTAATCCACTAATCTTGATCATCTGATACTATAACATTCTATACTGTATTCACTAGATTTGACTAGTTAATTAATAGAAGCAAAATATCATTCATAAATTTAGTTTAGTACTTTTCTTATATGGTGCATATAACTTTTAATGAAACTATAATTAATATACTGGAAACAATGTCGAAATTTTAATTCTGTTTGCTACTTTTATGAAAAATTAAAAAAAATTATTATACTGCTTAGTTACTAGTAATTTTTATTTTATTTTAAGAAGAAACCTAACTTAAGTGGATGTGTGATATGACCTTAAAAAAAAAGAAATCAATAAACATAAATTATTTCCCAGAACTATTTGACGTTATGAATAACTTCAGTGTTCGATATCCAGCATCTTTGAGCTTTTTGTCGGTCGGTCGTTTTTTTTTAAAGTGCTGCACATAAGAGTGTAATTTTCACTGGAGATTTCAAGTTATCCATCTTTGCTATGAGCATATCAGTGTAGCTTATCCCAGAATGAAAAAACAAAAATAATAGGGAGTTAGGACTTGAACTAAAATTGCCAGTGGAGAATCGACACTCATCTGTCAAATTAATGGAAAGATGTTGAATACCTCTCACCTGCTGAATACTCCCTTTCCAGAACTCAAATGGTATTTTTAATAGTATATAATAATTCATGTGAACAGTTAAAGTCTAATCTAATGATGTACAAGTCCGACATCAAACATCAGTTCCTTCAAGGTCACAAGCATACCTTGCTGACAGGCGCTAAATAGCTCGAAACCTAGGTCCACAATATCCTGTCGACTACCTTCAATCACCACTTTACATTTCAACATGGTACACGGCACGTCGACTCACTTAGACTAGTATCCACATTTCAACTTTCTCAATAGAACCCAATTAATTATCAACACCCCAGTTCTATAAACGTTGTCAGTCGCGGTCCGAATAGCTCAGTGACAAGGACTCAGATTGTGAAGCTAAGTGACACTGAGTCAGATCTGTAAGGCAGCACCAGCTTACTCAAGACTACAGGTACGTTGTAATGACGTGTCAACTAGCACAGAATCTAGGTCGACCCGAGTCATCTGATAACCACCTTCAACAGGAAAGATATTTTTTCGAATAAAGGTACAAGTTAATTGTGAATTTTTTGTTAGAATGCAACAAAAAGTTTAAGTGTCTTCATTTATCGGCTTATGTAGAAAAATGTCATTGAAAAAATATGCAATTTGACATTTTTCTCTATCATGTCTATTCCATATGAAAAATACTAAACAGATATGTACAAAAAATGTATTAAGACAAAAATTTA